ATGAATTAGTATCATTATTCTACATAGAAACAAATTTGAGGATATTTTTCTTATAAATATTTTTTTTTATATATATATATATATATATATATATATATATATATATATATATATATATATATATATATATATATATATATATATATATATATTCTTTTCGCACGTGATAAATAAACTGAATATTTTAAGTACAGTAATTGGTTTATTTAAAATGTTTATTTCACGGAATTATTTTATATTCATGATCTTGTGAATATTGTAAATGTATTTATAAAAGTAATCGTCTTTTTATTGGGTAGGAAATGGATATTAAAATATTCTTGAATATTGTATATATATTTTGTTGGGTGATTAAAGGTGTGTGCGTGCGGGTGTGTGTGTGCGGGTGCGTGCGGGTGTGTCTTTCTTAGTGTTTGCTTTTCTGTGTGTCTGTATATGTGTTTGTGTGTGTACAAACAGACAGACCTTGACAGATAGATCGATCACCAGACAGGCAGACGAACAGACAGACAGACAGACAGACAGACTAGACAGATGATGCCAGAGGAGACAGACAGACCTAGACAGATAGATGGATCGCCAGACAGACAGACAGACAGACCTAGACAGATAGATGGATCGCCAGACAGACAGACAGACAGATATAAACGCCAACCTTCATCACCGCCAAATTAATTATTTAAAAGTGGACTGGCTGGAAAATTCATAACGCCAGAGATTTTTTTCATGGTTTGTTGAGCTGTTTGTTTATTTGTTTGTGTTCGTTTGTTTTGTTTGTTTATTTGTAGGATTCTTTTTTTGGTTTAGTTGTTTTAGTGTTTTGGTCATTATTTGTTTGGTCTTTTTGTTAAATGTTTTTTTGTTTTGTTTGTTTCATATTTTTTTTGTTGTTCCTTGTTCTTGTTCTTGTTCTTTCTTTATTGTTTTTCCGTTTTGGGTTTTGTTTATAATTTCTTTTATTCTTTCTTATTTTGGAGGGAAGTCTTCTAAAAAAAATTAATTATAGCCCAGTGATCCCCTAAAAACAAACGAAGCTAGTAGGTAGGTAACACAAGCCGGAACAATAGCGTCAATAGTTGCTGTAGTGGCTCTGGTACAACAATAAGCGCGTCTCACGGTTTGTTTAGTATAAGCTCGAATATATATATAAAATCCGGATTCAAGCTCAGCGTTTTTACTGAAAGGCGGATTTTTTTTTTAAGAAAGGAAAATATAATTACCTTAATTTTCACTTTTTGACTGATTGATTTATTTATGAATGGAATAATTGTGATGACTAAACGGATATTAAATTTTATAGAGTTGTATTTAACTTAATTTGAATTATGTATGATACGTTGTGCTTAATTGTAAGAGAAATTTCAGGCTCGTATTCATCATTGTTGACATGATGTATCTGGATTCAGGATTCACGAACGTACGTAAGATAAACACACCTGGTAAACAACTATACCATACACGTTACTACATACATTACATGATTTAAGATTAAAATTACCATACGAACAATAACATACAGATAAATAAAATTAATATACAAATAAAATAATAATGAAATTCAATAACATATAATAATGAAGAAACAATAACAAATAATGATGAAATAAACCCATTAATTCCATCTGTCATAACTTCAATAACATTACGTAATCAGACATTCAGACACTTTTCACCATGCATAATTACAACTCTTCATAAGTCTTGTCTCAGAATATGATGTAATTTCAACTGAGGTCTTTCTTAGGGACATTGTAAGAACTAATTAACCTGACTCAAACTCGTCACCTGAGCCAAGAAAAGAGAATTTGGTCGTAGTGTTGTAGAGTCTACGAGATCTCCCGCCACATTTGACACTAATGTATTATGCTCGTAGGCTTATGTGTGTGTGTTGTTTATTAATTTATTCCTTCTATATGTGTTTTGGTGCTACTGTTATTAACCACCACATGCACACACACACACACACACACACACACACACACACACACACACACACACTCCTCAATTTGGTGTAAAAACATTAGGTGGCCTTGCTTCAACTCTCATTATTACACCTGACAAAGGTAATTGCAGTAACTTGACTTTGTTAGCACTTAGCGTTAACAGCTTGTTCAGCATGATAATTGCCTCCGCCTGGTAAATACTCCCCGGTGAAAATATGACCTAATATATTATAGCGTACTGCCTGACCTGACCTGGCTGCTAGCGTGTTGGCATTTACACAAGGGTCATAAATCAGTAGGAGTGTTGTCCGCTTATGGTAAACATCGATGTTGTTGTTTTTTTCTTTATTTTAAGCTTCATGTGTTTTATTGTGAGTTATTATTACTCTCTCTCTCTCTCTCTCTCTCTCTCTCTCTCTCTCTCTCTCTCTCTCTCTCTCTCTCTCTAGGTTAGGTTGGAGTTAGGTTGGAAGTTAGCTTAACGTAAATGTGATTAATATTCGGGTTGGGTTTGGGTGAGCGTGATCCATATATCGATGTTTTTAATCACAAAGGAAAAATAAGACAGTAATATCCACAGGACTTTTATATATATATAATTCCTTTAACTTTTTAAATATCCTCATAAACACTAATTTTAAACAGTATAATTCCCTAGAAACATTAACCTGAAACAATAAAAATACCCCAGAAACAATTCAATTTTACATCATGATTCCATTTTAAACCCGTAATGAAACTCGCTCAACAAGGTTAAACAGCACTAACTCATTATCTGGGGAAAGAATGTGTGTGTGTGTGTGTGTGTAGGAATTTAAATAAAAGGTAAAAAAATACCTCTCAGGATAAGGAAACTGACTTAATTTACAAGAGTTAGGGAATTTCATAATTATGTTTGTTATTAAGTCAGGGGTGAGGATTCAGACGCGTTGGTGTTATTTAGAGGAGTTTTGTAGGTATCTGAACATTTTGGAATCATTGTTACGTATCTGTATGCGTTTAGTGTACTTTTTTTTGTGGTTTGGTACTTGTTTAAATGTGTTGGTACGTTTTTGTAGGGTTGGTACGTGTTTAAAGGTGTTAGTGTACTTTTATGATAAGGTTCGTACATTTAGCTTTTTGTGTATTTGTTGTTTTTACCAATGGCATTGTATTCGTACGTAGTGGCACATATATTGGAGCACTTTTTACGTTTATATTTCAACGCATTTGGACATATTTTCAACATTAATTTCGTTGTAATATGTACGTAATGGGACTGATTCTCGAATGCTGTCGTTGTATAGTGTTTATTTGATATTATCATATTAATCTCTTGTAATAATGTCTTCTGGCGGACTGATTCAGCGGGTTATATTTTTAGATCTCTTGGCAAAATGGTTAAAAAAAATATAAGAATGTTAAACAATGTATACTGGTTTTTGATAATGAGTGTAGGAGTGTTTGTGTATTTGTGTGTTGCACCTGCTAGAGTGTAGATGTGTATTGAAAATGTTGGTAGGGGTGTAGAGTGTATTAGAACAGTTTGTGGTGGGTGTGTTGGGTGTATTTCAATGAGCTCAACTGTGACGTGTGACTGATGGGTGTAGCTAGTCTTTCTACACTTGGGGGCGGGGCAAGGGGGGGGTTGGATCTGCCTTAGTGCAGTAGTGTTGGTGGTGAGTGGAGTCACTGCGACATTCTGTAATTGTCAAACTTCAGCTGGCCTCGTGCAATTCCTCACATGAATGAGCCTGTGACGTGGGCCTGGGGTCACCTTCCGCTACCACACCACCCTAATATTAAACTATTTTCACGACAAACTTCCTTCTAACTTGGTTTTATGAGGAAAGGAAAAAAATATTGCATGGAATGAAAACGTTACTCGATTTCCACTAAAAGCTTTGAGCGGTTATGTGGGTTGATTTTTGTTCTATACGTTAGTTCATTTGTTTTTTTAATTTGTTTTGTGTTTTTTGTTTTGTTAGGGTCTTGTGAATTGGAGTTGTTTTTATATATATTTGAATGTTATGTAGATGGTGTTTGTTGAAGGAGAAATCTCTCTCTCTCTCTCTCTCTCCCAAAACAACATTTACCGCCACACAACAATTAATAACTCCTGTGTGTTCAACAACCACAACAACACCACAAGTCTGCAGCATCAAGGAACATTACCAACCAATGTCAAAGGTGGACGAGAGAGGGGAGAGAAGGGCGGAGGGGGGGGTGGGGAGGAGGGGAGGAAGAGGGAGGGAAGGGAAGGTCCAGCTCCCCAGTCGTACTGCACAAACACAGACCAGAATTAGAATTAGATGAGATGTACCAGACCTTGAATCGTTACTGATGAGTTCTCTCTCTCTCTAGCCAAGCATGGAGGTTTAGTCAAACAAGGTACTAGGAGCCAAACAGTATGGCAGCCAAACGTGGCAGTGCAGGTGGCGTAGCTATGCAAGGTAATGCAGTTAAACAAGATGGTATACAAACAAGGTGGTGTAGCCAAACAAGGTGGTATAGCCAAAGGTGGTAGAACAAGGTGGTGTAGGAAACAGTTGTTTAGCCAAACAAGATAGTGTAGCCAAACAAGATGGTGTAGCAAACAAGATGGTGTGTAGCCAAACAAGGTGGAGGCAAACAAGGTGGTGTAGGCTAAACAAGATTGTTTAGCCAAACAAGATGTAGAAAAACAAGGTGGTATAGCCAAACAAGGTAGCCAACAAGGTGGGTGCAACAGGTAACAAAATGGTAAGAAACAGGTGGTGGAAACAAGTGGTAGAAATGGTGTAGCAAACATGTATAGAAACAGGTAAAACAGGTGGGACAGGTGGTGGAAAGTTGTTAGAAACAGATAGGGCAAACAAGATGGTGTAGCAACAAGATGGTAGCCAAACAAGGTGGTGTAGGCAAACAAGATGGTGTAGCCAAACAAGATTGTGAGCAAACAAGATGGTGTAGCAAACAAGGTAAGCCAAGGTGGTAGGCAAGTGGTGGGAAACAGATTGTTTAGCAACAAGAGGTGGTTAGAAACAAGGTGGTAGGCAAACAAGATGGTGTAGCCAAACATGAAGCCGTCCAAGAAGAATGTGGAGTACAGACGCCTGGTGGTACACTGTGTCACCTCGGATAGATCAGAGACTTTCAGGGTCCCTGGGTGACAGTGTCCGGCCGGGAGCTCCCAACCACTTCCTGTGTGTCACATTATTGAGGCCAAGTAGCACCACCAGCACTCTCAGCACCATCAGCACTTCCATGGCCTTCAGCACCATCAGCACTTCCATGGCCTTTAGTACCACCAGCACTCCCATGGCCCCCAGCTCCACCAGCACTCCCATGGCCACCAGCACTCCCCATGGCCTGGCTCCACCAGCACCCCATGGCCACCAGCACTCCCATGGCCACCAGCACCCCATGGCCACCAGCACTCCCATGGCCCCAGCTCCACCAAGCACTCCCATGGCCCAGCACTTGGCCCCAGCTCCACCAGCACTCCCATGGCACCAGCACCCCATGGCCTCCACCAGCACCCCATGGCCACCAGCACTCCCATGGCCCCCAGCTCCACCAGCACTCCCCATGGCCCCCAGCTCCACCAGCACTCCCATGGCCTTAGCACCATCAGCCTCCCATGGCCCCAGCACCACCAGCACTCCCATGGCCCCAGCCCACCAGCACCCCATGGCCCAGAGTCTCCACCACCCCTGGCCCCAGCTCCACCAGCACTCCCATGGCCCTCAGCTCCACCAGCACCCCATGGCCCCAGCACCACCAGCACTCCCATGGCCTTCAGCACCACAGGGGTCTCCACCACCACCAGGGTCTCCAGGGGCCTGCCCTACATGTCCTGCCTTAGTACCGTGACGCAGAGGTGAGCTGCCTCCTGCATACTTTCTCACCTGCCTCACCTCTCACCTGTTTTACCTCTTTCCTTTCCTCCACCCCTTACCTTCCCCTTCTTCCCTCACCTCCTTTCCTTTATCCTCTCCCTCACCAGCCTATCATCTGTCTCACCTGCCATACCTGTCTCTCACTTGCCTCTGGTCACCTCTCCTCACCTCTCTCCCCTATCTCTCTCTCACCTCCCTCCATTTCTCGCCTCCTCATCCAATCTTGTACCAAACACACATCTCGCGTCCATGCAACATTGATACAACCAAACCTCCTTTCCCCCACCATCCTCCTCCCTCCCCTCCCCAGAAGATCTTGCTCACGCCCTGAGACCTATATCTCAACCTTGATATATCTCTCACCCCTCACCCCCCACACACCTGATATATATCTGCCCGACTGATATATTTCGTGAGGTAATTTATGAATCTCTCAAGAGAAGTGAGGTGGGGAGAGATGAGGTGAGTAGAAATTTTCGCGTTTTGTGGTAAAATTCGTACCTGACCACAGTTGTTGAGCAATATAAATTTTAGTTTTAGGTTAGTTTCCCATTTTCTGTCTCCTGAGTGGTACGTTTTTCTATGATTAAATTTGTTATTGAATTTTATTACAATTTCGTCTGAGTTTTTATTTATATTTATTTATATTACTGTTTATATTTTATTTTTACCTTAAATTCTATTATATTTTATTATATATTTGCATTTAATTACTTGTGGTTAGGTTAATGGTAATGTTATTGTTATTGTTATTTATGAAGATGTTATTGTTCTTGCTGTTATTGTTCAAATATTGTTGCTGTTATTGTTATTGATGAGGACCGTTGTTGTTGATTAGGATGTTTTGTTGTTCATATTGTTGAGAGTTATAACAGCATTATAATTAATCAGCCTCCCAAAGAGTGAGCTAATTAGTGAGGTGTTTACCTTCCCTCACAGTATTAGTGCAAGTTGGGTTATATCTTATATCTTAATTACTCTCTTAATGACCCATCTGTTATGTCGCGGTGATCTACTGGGGGGGTGAGAAGGGGAGGTGAGACACAGAGGAGGTGAGAGAGTGGGAAGGTGAGATACAGAGGGGTGACAGAGTGAGAGGTGATGCTCTGAGGGTGACAGAGGTGAGAGGTGAATACAGGGTGACAGAGGTGAGACACAGAGGGGGTGACAGAGGTGAGAGAGGGGGTGAGATAGAGAGGTCAGATAGAGGTGGGGAGTAGGGGAGGTCTGATGGAGGGTTAGGGAGAGGGAGAGGAGGGACGGAGATAGTGAGAGAAGGGGTGAAAGGGCAGGTGAGATAGTGAGATGGGGGAGAGGGAAGATGAAGAGAGAGAGGGGAGAGTAGGGGGTGAGATAGAGAGAAATAACAGTAGGTTGGGAGAGGGAAGAAATATAGAGACACAGGGTAGGTCGGGCAGGTCTCCTTCATAGAGGGTAGGTCGGGCAGGTCTCATGCAGGGTAGGTCGGGCAGGTCTTCTTCATAGAGGGTAGGTCAGGCAGGTCTCCTTCATGCAGGGTAGGTCGGCAGGTCTCCTTCATAGAGGGAGTGGTCGGGCAGGTCTCCTTCATGCAGGGTAGGTCGGGCAGGTCTCCTTCATGCAGGGTGGGTCGGGCAGGTCTCCTTCATAGGGGTAGGTCGGGCAGGTCTCCTCATGCAGGGTAGTGGCCTTCATAGAGGGTAGGTCGGAGGTCTCTTCATAAGGGTGGGTCGGGGGTCCCTTCATGGGGGTAGGTCGGGCAGGTCTCCTTCATAGAGGGTAGGTCGGGCAGGTCTCCTTCATGCAGGGTAGGTCAGGCAGGTCTCCTTCCTTAGAGGGTAGGTCGGGCAGGTCTCCTTCATGCAGGGGTAGGTCGGGCAGGTCTCCTTCATGCAGGGTGGGTCGGGCAGGTCTCCTTCATAGAGGGTAGGTCGGGCAGGTCTCCTTCATAGAGGGTAGGTCAGGCAGGTCTCCTTCATAGGGGGTAGGTCGGCAGGCTCTTCATAGAGGGTGGTCGGTGGATCTCCCTTCATGGAGGGTAGGTCGGCAGGTCTCCTCATGAGAGTCAGGCAGGTCTCCTTCATAGGGGTAGGTCGGGCAGGTCTCTTCATAAGAGGGTAGGTCGGGCAGGTCTCTTCATAGAGGGTAGGTCGGGCAGGTCTCTCTTCATAGTGGGTAGGTGGGCAGGTCTCTTTCCTAGAGGGTGGGTCGGGCAGGTCTCCTTCATGGAGGGTAGGTCGGCAGGTCTCCCTTCATAGAGATGGAGTCAGGCAGGTCTCCTTCATGCAGGGTAGGTCGCGCAGGTCTCCTTCATAGAGGGTAGGTCGGGCAGGTCTCCTTCATGCAGGAGGGTAGGTCGGGCAGGTCTCCTTCATGGGGGGTAGGTCGGGCTGGTCTCTTTCATGCAGGTTGGTCGGGCAGGTCTCTTCATAGAGGTGAGTCGGACAGGTCTCTTTCATACTGGGTAGGTCGGGCAGGTCTCCTTCATAGAGGGTAGGTCGGGCGGGTCTCTTTCATACTGGGTGGTCGGCAGGTCTCTTTCATACTGGGTAGGTCGGGCAGGTCTCCTTCATAGAGGGTGGGTCGGACAGGTCTCTTTTGGTAGGTCGGGCAGGTCTCTCCTTCATAGAGGGTAGGTCGGGCTGGTCTCTTTCATACTGGGTAGGTCGGCAGGTCTTTCATAGGGTAGGTCGGGCAGGTCTCTTTCATACTGGGTAGGTCGGGCAGGTCTCTTTCATACTGGGTCGGGTATTTTTTTGGTGTCGGGAGGTCTCTTTCATACTGGGTAGGTCGGGCAGGTCTCCTTCAACAGGACTGAAATTAAGGAACTTTCTCATCATCAAGAACTTTGTTGAAAACATTTAGGAGTCGCATGTGTGTGTGTGTGTGTTTCTCTCTCAGCCTCCCCTTCAATCCTCATTTTTTCTCTCAAATCTATCCATCTCTCCCTCGACCCCTCACCTACATCTCCCAACTTCCCTCATCACATTATGTAAACACGTAGGTAACTCTGCTGACACGCCTTCTCTTACTTAACACTATTTCCGGGTTTCCAGGTTCGACTCCCTCCTCGTAGCTTTCTAGTTCGTGCTTTTGACTTTCTGCCTCTGCCATATTTCTGGATGATGTGTCTTCTTCTTCTTCTTCTTCTTCTTCTTCTTCTTCCTTCTTCCTTCTTCTTCTTCTTCTTCTTCCCGTTGTGTTGCAAGTTAGAAAGATTTATTAGGAGGGAAGGAGGGAGGAGGGAGGAGGTAAGGTAGGTGGGTGAGAGGTGGGAAGGATAGAAGGAGAGAAGAGGAGATAGGAGAGAAGGATGAATAGGTGAGATGGAGGACGGGAAAAGAAGAAGACAACGAAAGAAGAAAGAAAGAATGAAAGAAAGAAAAGAAAGGGAAGTTCTCAAGGATGTTAATACTGGTTGAGGTCAACGCTGTTCTTCCTAATTCAATCCTCGGGGCCGGAGGGAAATTCATCGTGATAGCCAGTGTAGACGAGGAAGGTGTTGGGGGGAGGAGGAGGAGGGGGAGTAAGGTTGGGGGTGGAAGGGTGGTAGCGAGGGTGAGAAGTTGGGGGTGGGAAGGGCTAAGAAGAATGGAGTAGATTAGTTAGGTTAAGTTAGGTTAGGTTAGGTTAGGTTAGGTTAGGTTAGATTAGGTTAGGTTAGGTTAGGTTAGTTATCGTCCTAAACATCCACTATTGTAATTCTTTGTTTTGTTTCTTGACTTTTTATATAGTGTTGTTGGTTTGTATGAAATATTAGTTTATTTTTGTTCTGTATTGTAAAGTGTGTGTGTGTGTGTGTGTGTGTGTGTGTGTGTGTGTGTGTGTGTGTGTGTGTGTGTGTGTGTGTGTGTGTGTCGTCTCGGCACCTTTATTACCTAAGATTAATTCATTTCGAATGGACCCACAGTCAGCCCTTCTGTCTTCACCTCTACTGAAAACAACTCCTGTATCTTACCCTGCCTTCCTCTCTTTCTTTAAGACACGTAACACCTTTTATCTTCTAGGAATTATTTAGTTTAATTTAATTATTTATGAGGAAAATAACGTGTGTGTTATGTTATGTTATGGTGTTATTATTATCATCATCATCGTCATCATCATTATTATTACTTTATACCTAAAAATATACAGTACTCTCTCTCTCTCTTTTTTTTTCATCGCCGTCTTCAAAGAGGAAAAATGTCCGTTATTTCGGGTGAGGCCGGAGGGTTGAGTGGAGGGAGGAGAAGGCAGAGGAGGGAGGGAGGAGTGGAGGAAGGGTAGGAGGGGGTAGGGAGAGGGGATCCTGGATCTAATGAGTATTGCTGAAATTTCTCCCAGGCAGCTAACATAGTGGCAAGAGGGAGGGAGGGAGGGTAGGGGTAGGGAGGAAGAAAGGTGAAGGAGAAAGGGGGGGTTTTGTGACTTGAGGGAGGGAAGACAGTAAAGGGTGGAAGAAGGAAGAGAATGAAGGAAGGGAGGGAGGAAGAAGGTATGGGAGGAAAGAAAGGTGAGAAGGAAGGAAGGGGAGAGGGACAGAGAGGGAGGGGGGAAGAAGGTGGGGGAATGAATAAGGGAGAGAGGTGAGGGAAGGAAGAATTGAGGGAGGGAGTGAGAGAAGTAAGGGATACAACAGAGGTATTAATACAGACCAACAAACACCCTTAATGTACAGTATAATAAGGACCTTAGTATTGACGAGACAGATGCTTCACTTTTATGGCTCTAGAACATGACAGACAGACAGAGACAGACAGACAGACAGAGAGAAATAGACAGACAGCCAAGAAGATAAAGAAGAAAGATAGAAATTAGGAAGAAAGAGACGGTGGTAAATGGATACTGAATCAGACGTCGGACAGAATTCCGCCATTTACACCATACCACTCCCTTGAGAAATGAAACCATGACACACACACACACACACACACACACACACACACACACACACACACACACACACACCTATATACAGTTATTCAAGAACGCCAAATGGATGCAAGTGTTGGAGGT